GCGGCCCTGGAAGCCGCGGTCCTCGTAGAAGGTGATCTGCAAAATGGAAGATGTGGGAGCATGAGGCGATTGGCCCCCCTGCTGAAGAGGCTGCGCCAGGGCCAATCCTGAGCCTCAGGTACCCGGCACTTACCTTCCCCATTTTGGAGCAAGCGAGCAGGAGGTGTTGGCCGGGTGCTGTGTGGGACGAGGGGGAGTGCCGCTGTATATATAGCAGCCCTGACTGCTGCCTCCGCAGGAAATCACACAAAAGGGGCCCATTTCGGTGAGTAAGGGGATTTGCCAGCTCCCCGCTCCTCCTCCCCCTGGTCATTGGGGTTAGCTGAATGGTTTACTCTCATTCTTTCTGGTAGGTTCGGGTTGTTCTGATTCACTAAAACTGTTGTTGCCACCAAAATGAAAAGAGTCTTTACTCTTTTAGTTGAGCAAGATGATGAGCGAAATTCTATCCCCGTGCTTTTATTTTGTCACCTACTCTGCTTAATTGACTCCTCAAAGGTAATTAAACTAAGTAATGTATTCTGCTTCAAGACTGGTGGTTTTTTTTTTTTTAACTTTTATTAAAAATCAGAATTTAAATAATAAGGAATCTTAAGGAAGAGAGAAGCAAGTGAAATAATCTGTGAAAGTGCTTTAGAAAGCAAAAAGCTTAGTTCAAATTCAGGCTTGTGTGGTCATCGTTGTTATTTTGGGGTCTATCTTGAGTAAAATTGTTACTTGACTGGAAATTTGTAGGCTCCTGGAGGCTGGGAATTCTCTCTTATTCCTTTCTGCCTCTGCGCCTAGAGCAGAGGGTTGGCACATAGTAGACCCTCAACACTTGGCTTTGACCTGAAAGAAAGCAGATAGCGAAGGCCTTCCTCCCCTCCCTCACAACTCCCCGAGAGCCTAAATCCTTCCTTCTGCTGGTGGCTGCCCAGAATACTGCTTGCTCTTTTTTGTCCCTGCCCTCCTTCAACATCTTAAGATCTTTCTTCCTCATCACCATTACAGACTCTTGCCCACTTGATAAGGGTGGTTTGAGTTAGTGTGAGGAGTAATGTATAAACCCTCAAAATACCAACAGCTACTTCCTTAGACTTTTGAGATGCTGGAGAGCACCCAAGCCAGATGACAGAGCCTCTTGATTGTATGAATTTCACAGTGTGGTATGGGGACCCCTGAAGTCCCTGAGACACTTTCAAGAGGTTCATAAGATCAAAACAGTTTTCATAACAATACTAAGATGTTACTGACCCTTTTCACTCTTATTCTTTTACAGGTGTACAGTGGAGTTTTTCCAGAGGCTGTAGGACATTAAAGAGATTTGTAAAAACATAAAACAATTCCAATCTTTTTTTTTTTTAAGATTTTGTTTGTTTGTCAGAGAGAGAAAGAGAGAGAGAGCACAAGCAGGGGGAGCGGCAGGCAGAGGGAGAAGCAGGCTCCCCGCCTAGCAGGGAGCCCGATGTGGGACTCGATCCCAGAACCCTGGGATCATGACCTGAGCCGAAGGCAGAC